AGGCTACTTTGAGTATCCTAGCTGAATTTTAGAATGCCAAGAAAATGCGACAGACAGATAAACCTTCCATTAAAATTAGAGAGGTGTCCATCGTGGCGGGCAGAGCAGCCAGGGAAATGCAGGGCAAGCTAGATACTTAAGAAGGCTGCCCGGCAGCTGGGTGCGGTGGAAGAGCCTGGATACCTCAGTACTTGGGAGGCTGAGGCAGGAGGATTATGGATTCCAGCTCTGCTTAGGCTACCTAAGGAAAACCCAGACTTGAAAAGAAAACTAAACAAACTGCAAGGATCGGTTTCAGAGGCCAGTGCTTTTGTAGGAAAGAAATGACGTTATTGTTTTCAAACTCACAGGACAGCGTTTCTGAAGGAAGTGATGTCCCAGATCCCCAGTGGAGGATGCTGTCTATTGCAAGAGCTTTCTGGGGAGCAAATAATTCAGCTCTTCTACCCGGGACTTGCTGTGTGCACAGCTCAGGGAAGGAGGGCCGTCTAGTATCTGCCAGAACACAGCCTGAGTACACGTTTAGCCTCTGATTTGTGTGTCTGAGTCTTCCAGAAATGTCGAGTCTCTCCATCCCTGTCAGAAGACATCTCTACATCAATCCACCTCCAGGCTGCATGTGGGGGCCTGTGTCTGTGGGTTCCCTGGCAAGGCCCCTCAGCTGCAGCCGAGGAAGGCAGTTGGTCCATCACCCAAGAGGCTCAAGCCCCTGCCAATTTGCTGAAGCTAATTGGGCTGCTTTCAGGAAAGGCAGCTGCGGGCTTGGTGGGAGCGTCGTGTCTCAGCCAGGCGGCCCTGGCTGACGTCTCTAAAATAGCTCTCCATTCTTCCCTTTCTCCCCCGTGGGGCAGACACAGACATGCCTCGCTCAGAGTCCTCCTCAAGACCTGACTTGCTGTCTAGCTGTAGGAGTGTGGGTGGCAACAGGCTCTAGCCGCTGGCTTTGTTAGGATCCTCCTCAACTTTCCAACTGGTCACTGTCTTGGTCAGTGTTCTGCTGCTATAACCTAACTCTGCAGGCTTGGTAACGTATAAAGAAAAAAGGTTTGCTCAGCTCATGGTTCTGGGGGCTGGGTGGTCCAAGGTAAAAGAACTTCAGCCTATGAAAGTTTCCTTATTGATAAGGTTGGGCAAGGTGACAGAGGTGTATATAACAGGTGGAGCTAAACAGGCTTTGTAGCAGACCCGCTCTGGTGATTAATCCAAGTCCAGACACTCATGATATAATTACCTTTTTTTGTTGTTTTGTTTTATGAGACAGGGTTTCACTGTGTTGCCTCAACTGTCTTAAAGCTCATTCTGTAGACCCTGCTAGCCTAGAATTGACAGAGATTCGCTTGCCTCTGCCTCCCAAGTACTGGGATTAAAGGTATATGACACCATTCCCTGGCCTTCAGTGACTTAGCTCTGCACTCCGATCTTCACGCAAGCTTTATTTGTTAAAATATAAACAAAGTATCAAGACAACAACCACACATCCATGTGGATGATACACAGTGGCACATTACTGTGGGGGAGTATCCTTGGTAAATGCAAAGGGAGAAAGTAGGTGCGCCACTTACTCACATGGTCTCAGGCAGCTCAGACTGGTTTCCCACTCTCTGTGTAACTGAGGTAGACCTTGAACTGTTAATCCTCCTGCCTCCACCTTCTGGGTGTTAAGCTTACAGGTGTGTGCCACCGTCCTGGTTTGATGAAATACTAGTGGTTGAAAGCAGGGCTCTGTGTGCGCTGGGCAAGTGCTCTGCCAGCTGAGTTACACCCCCCAGCTGCCCCACTGATTTTTGACAAGGACGAAAAAGTAATTGAATGCAGAAAGGTTGGCATTTTCAGAACAACGCTGGAACCACTGGACACACAGCTGGGGTTATGAAAGGTTGTGAGGTGCTCTGTGGGTGCAGAGAGCCATATCCAGGTCATCGGCATGAGCAATAAGGACTCTTAGCTGCTGAGGCCTTTCTCCGGGCCCTCAGAAAGGAAATGTTAACAGGCTAGATCTCATCAAAAATTAAACACGTCTGCTCTACAGAAGATGCTGTTTGAGAAGATGAACAGATAAGCTGCAGGAAGAGAGAAGACATTTGTAAACCAATTATGACAAAGATCTAATCATAAAAGGTGACATCAGTCAGCCTTTCATTGGTGTGACCAACAAAGGAGGAAATGCATTGGGACTGGTGGTTTCCAAGGTTTCAGACCAAGGTCACTTGGTTCCTTTGCGTCTGGGCAGACACCTTGTCAGGGAGCATGTGGTAGAGGAATGAGGCTTACCTCACCATAGACAGGAGAGAGAGAGAAAGAGAGAGAGAGAGAGAGAGAGAGAGAGAGAGAGAGAGAGAGAGAGAGGAGAGAAGCCGGGACGCCCGGTGACCTACTTTCTCTATTCTTGTCACCTCCCAAAAGCCCTTCAGCTGTGAAGACCTCGGTGGGTTAGTCAGTATCCAGACAGTTTTCCACAACAGACCCATCTGGGGACCAAATCTTCAACACAGGAGCCTTTAGGGACATTTTCTATTCACACCAAACAAGAATATGCAAAGAATTCTCACATGGCAACAGTTTAAAAGAATTCATTTAAAAGCAGACATCTCTCCAGACACAGGAGAAGAGGACCAATACACATGGAAAGACGGTTAGCGTCACGAACTAACAGAAAACGCCAATTAAAACCACAGGAAGCTATGGCTGCCTATCGGTTGGCTAAAATTAAAGGAAAATAGTGATAGCACCAACCGGATCCTGCACATTGCTGGTTAGAATCACGCCGCGTGTTTTTACCACAGGACCCACCAATCTCAGTCTTGGGCATCATAGTTGCTGTGGCTCACGGTTTTAGGGAAACAGTCCATCACGATCCAGCACTATGTGAGAGCCCACCTTAGCGGCCCCTCACGTGAAGATAGTTTAGGAACAGAGCTTGGGCAGGAACTGGAAGTGGATGTCACTGTCAAGGTCCACTCCTGGTAATCCACTTCTGCTAACGAGGCCAGTGCCAGAGACTTCACAGCCTCCCAAAAGAGCACCTCCAGCTACGGACACAGTACGCGGACACATGAGCCTGTGAAGAACACCCGTGTCTACATTCACATCCCAGCAGAAATTTATCTTAAAGAAACCAGTTCTACAGTCGCACGGAGAAAACAACACACAGGTATTCACAGCAGCTTGTTTGCAGCCACCCTGAGCTGGAAACAAGCCATGATCTTCAAAGTGTGAACGGTTCTGTAAACTGCGATAGAGCCAAGCCGTGAGCTGCAGTTCAGAATCCAAGCTACCCGTGTCTGCAGCAACACAAGTAGACTCTCCAGAGACCTGCACAGGAAACAGCCCCCCAAAGGATTCCATTCTTCAAACAATAAACTAGAAATGAGGAGCAGACTAGTGTCTGGGAGGAGTCGCTGAGAAAGGATGGAGGAGGGAGATGGGTGTAGCCAGAAGGAAAAGCCTGACAGCTGAAGGGGGTACCGTGGACGGCGACCTCTGCATCAGCATGCTAAGTGAAGAAAGTCAGATGGGAGCTCTGCAAGTCAGCACATACCTGTGCTCTTGTGTTTCTGACATTTGGAGAGCAGAGACACGAGGATTGTGGACTTGAAGCTAGTTCACTATACAGTGAAATCCTGTCTCAAGAAAGCAAAAACAAACAAAGCCACCAAAGATAGGGAGACAGAAAGGAAGGGAGGTAGAGAAAGCTGGGCAGTGGCAGCATGATGTGGGATTCCCCTCTGTATGCTGTGAATGCCATTGGTTAATGAAGAAGCTGTCTTGGGCCTGGCAGGGCAGAATAGAGGTAGGTGGGGGAAGGGGACTAAACTGAATACTGGGAGAAAGAAGGTGGAGCTTAGAGATGCCATGTAGCCACTGCCCGGGACAGATGCACCAGAACCTTGCTGGTAAACCACGAGCTTCGTGGTAAAATATAAAATATAGAAATGGGTTAATTTAAGATAGAGTAAGCAGACAAAAAAAAAATAGTAGAAAAAAGCCAGGCGGTGGTGGCGCATGCCTTTAATCCCAACACTCAGGAGGCAGAGGTAGGTGGATCTCTGTGAGTTCGAGGCCAGCCTGGTCCACAAGAGCTAGTTCCTGGACAGGCTCCAAAGCTACAGAGAAATCTTGTCTTGAAAAGCAAAACAAACAAAACAAACAAACAAAAAATGTAAGCAGAAATACGCTTGAGCTATTGGCCAAACAGTATTGCAAATAATATAGTTTCTGTGTGATTATTTCAGGTCTGAGCAGCTAAGAACGAACGAGCAGCCTCCTACTACACTAGCGTTTATCTTTAATGCCAGCACTCAGGAGGCAGAGACAGGTGGATCTCTGTGAGTTCAGTTTAGCCTGGTCTATAAAGCAAATTCCTGGGCAGTCAGGGCTGTTACATACAGAAACCCTCTCACAGGAGGAAGGGTGGGAAATAATCCCAAGTAAGAAAAGCAGCGACTCCATTTTATAAATGCCTACTCATTGACAGTCCAACAATCAGAAACCAGCGGCTCTGGAGCAGCAATGAGTTCTGGTTGAGAGAGTTTGGAAGAACCTGGCTCTGTTACCATGAACCTCCACTTCCTCACACACTGACCTGGGCTAGGGTAGCCTACCAGGCTCTGTGCTATGTCCACATTCTGGCTGGCGGGGAGGGGGGAAGGGGGGGTAAAAGGTGGCACGGTGCAACCCGTCCTGCTGAGGACGACTTCCCAGAGGCTCCCTGACTGTGCTCTGGTATTTCTGGTGATCCCTTACAGGGTGCAGGGAACACAAGGCTGAGAAATGCAGTCTTTATTCTGGAGAGCCAAGTGTCCAGAGACTATCAGAGGGTCTATTAACACAAGAGGGAAGGAAGAGATAGCCAGGAAGAATTTGCCGACTCATCCACAGGTCATGCTTGCATCTGGTTCTTGGTCCCACATTTTTATTTCTTCATAAATGTGAACCAGAAATATGACTTTTTAAAAAAAAATCCCATACTCATTTACTTACTTTTATTCAGTAATTATAAAATATTTTTGCGAGAAACTGGGGTAGGTGCTGAATCATTAAGACAAAGACATAATAGATGAAGCAAAACGCCTTATGAAGAACTTAAACCTTATTATTGATCTGCAGTTTTGAAAATATGCCTTTTAAAAAATGTCTGTGCAGTGAGATTAACTTTTAGCTTTGAAACTACCAGCGTTCTCGTGCTTGGGAGGCAGGGGCTGGGAAGACGGCTGCCAGGCCCAGGGCAGGCAGTCTTTCAGCCTGTGCCACACAGCGGGACCTTCTCCAAAGACAAAACAAATGGAGGCTTTGTTTTTATGGCCAATCCTTCCTCTGATATTTTTCAAAAATATCCTGAAAGATGACATTTGAATTTTAATAGCTACTTATATTTATTGTCTCAGTCTATCCCTTGAGTCAGGTAAATACTTGGGAGAAAAAAAAAAAAGATGATTTACCCTCAGTATTCACACACAATTGGATTATTCAGCTCTGATTTCTTTTTTAACTTCTGATCTCACTTCATGCCTGACAAAATTCAGGCTCTGGTCCTTTCCAAAATAGTAATAATAATAAAAAATTGTATTTAAAAAATGTTTTTAAGGCAGGACCTTTAGCCTAGCCTGGCTGCGTACTCCTCATGTAGCAGAGGACAGACCATTGAACTTGCTATCCTCCTTCAAATTCCAGTATGAGCCACCATGTCCAGTTTCACAGATGTTCTTAATACAAAGTGCTTCTCACTTCTGGGTTTAAGTATTTGGAGTGTGTAAATTTATTTGTCATTATCATATATAATAGCACTAGTCATTGACAAAAGGCTATTTTTTTCTTTTTTAATTCACTTACTTTATTCATTATTATTTCATTCGGCTAACTCTTACCAAGACTTTGCTATTGTATTTGATTTTCCTCCTAAAATATGACTTTGTGTTTATTTGAAAATGTGTTTGGGTGGGGAGTCTGCTGGGGATCAAACCCAGGGCCTTGCACGTTCTAGGCTAAGTGTTCCAGCCCTGAACTTCATCCCCAACCTAGCAGTGTCTCTGTGTTCCTTCCTTCCAACCTCAGCACCTGATGTGTGACACGTATAAACAACTATTCAATAGACATTCAAGAATAAATGAAAGAATGAATCCTTTATCTCAAACACAGTCACAGTAATTCATGGCAGCACTGGGAATTATTCTGACATTCCAAAACCCCCTGGTCCAAGTCCTGTTACTTCCTTTGAGCAGAGCCTACACACAACGAGAGGAAGTGACAGCCGGGGTCTCAGGCAAACCTCTGTCTCTGCAACAGGCTTTGGGGCTTCCATGGATTTGTTCCTCTCTCTCTTCTCAACCTTTTATGCCCATCCTGACTCTCAACTTGCTCTAATAAGATAATCAAGCCCTCTTTGTCAGCAGCTGAGTGCTTCCTTTGTAAGGCTCGACCTTCCTACTGTGTCCCCCCTACCCCACCCCTCCCTGCCCCTGCACTCTTGGCTCTACAGAGGCTGCTTGCCTTTCTTTATTTACGTCTCAAGCACGTGGAAGGCCAGCTGTGATGGGACAGCCGCAAAAGAAAGGTGACCTCTTCTTGTCAAGAGCTTAGGCTGTTGTTCTTTTCGCAGTAGTGGGACGGCTTGTTGTGTCTTGTCTTCCTCTGGCCACTTGTCAATGGCTGCCTTCCTACAGGCTTTTTGACGGTCCAAGGATGAAGCCGACCAGCAGTGTTAGTCTGATTACAAGGAAGAAAGGAATCAACGTTCAGCAAATAAGTAAGGCATGAACTCTGTGAACCTGAACCACAAGAAGGTAAAGCTGCATCTGAGGGGCCCAGAATAACCATCTCGCATCCTGGAAAACAGGTTCTGTTTACATGTCCTATGTGGGTGCTGAAATATTGAAATAGTTCAGGAATTCTGAGGATTTACGGCCGAGAAAGGATGGGAACTCCTCCTCAAAACACCCTTATGCTGAGAGAAACTACTCTGGAGGGGACCGAGGGAAGGAATATGGAGTGTGCTCTCAGGCCTTGGGAAAATTTCCTGTCTGGTTCCAGGAAAACTGCCAGAAAGTCACTGATGCTCAGTTCCTTCCCAGATGCCTATTTTGCTAGAAAGTGCAGAAATAAAACAGTATTTCTTCTGCTATACACATATGTATGTACGCATGCATGCATGCATGTATGAACGTATGCATGTGTGTAAGCATGTATGTATGTGTGTATGTATACCGGTATGGATGTATGCGTGTATGTGTGTATGCATGCGTGTGTGCATGTATATATGTATGCATGTATGTATGCTTTAGACATCTAAACTTTAATGAGTTCCAAACATTCCCTTCACTGACTCTTGGGCACTCCGGGCTAACTCAGTCTGCTGACTTTCCTCTCTAGGACTGTCTTCTGAATGGTGAACTGATGACTTCTGAACTCTAAATAACTGTGCTTTTGAAACCAGAGGCTCCTGCCTACCTCTACCTGCCTCAAGGACTCAACGGTCAGGGTAACACTTGCTTTTCCTCCCCCTTTCCTTCCTTCCTTTCTTTCTCTTTCCTTGCTATTTTTGCATGGATAAGTACCTCTCCATAGAAATGATGCCTGAATTTGGATAAACCTCTGAATATTACAAAATGATACCTTAGTTTTGGACCTAAAGGGAACAGGCAAAACCTGACCCTATAGGCTGTGGATATAGCTTAGCAGGAGAGTGTTTGCCTATTATATACAAGTCACAGGTTCAATTCCCAGCTGAGAATAACAAGGGCAGTGGCCCATGATTGTAATCCCATTACAGAGATGGGAGCATGAGAATTCAGAGTTCTGGGTCATCCTATGCTACATAGTGACTCTGCAGCCACCCTGGGATACATGAGACAGCAATTCTTTCTTCTTTCCTTCTTTCTTTCATGCTTTCTTTCTTTCCTTTCTTTTCTTAATGGGGGGTGTCCTGTGCTGTGGAAAAATTCTTCTATACACATGAACATGTATTACTCTAATTGGTTAATAAAGAGCTGATTGGTCAATGGCTAGGCAGGATTTGGGGGGCAGAGAGAATGCTGGGAGCCTGAGGAGTCTCAGGAGGCACCATGAGATGCAGAGCGGGCAGGATGGGAAGTGCATGCATGAGGTAAGCGAGCCTCGGGCAGCACACAGATTAATAGAAAAGGTTAGGTTAAGTTGTGAGCTAGATTAGAATGAACTTAAGTTATAGACTGAGCATTTGTAGTTAATATTAAGTCTCTGTGTGGCCATTTGGGGAGCGGCTGGAGGGACAGCACTGAGTGTGAACTAGACAAAGTCTGCCTACTGTCCTCACTCTGTAGCTGCAGCTGGCCCCAAACCTGCTATGTAAAACAAGCTGGCTTAGAACCCACAGAGCTCTGCCTGCCTCTGCCTTTGGAGACCTGGGATTAAAGTTGTTTCCTATCATGACTATTGGAAACCTTGCCTCAAAATACTCTCTCTCTCTCTCTCACACACACACACACACACACACACTGTGGGGCCCAGGGCAACCTGGCCACACATCCACACATGGGACCCAGGCCATACAGCTGCCGTGACAGGCAGCACAGGGTTCCAGGAAAAGCCATAAGCTGACACCACCCAGGAAGGGCCAGCATCTAAAGGGAAGTACCTGGCGGTCCAACCATTAGATGAGTTAAGATCACCAGATGTCTCTGAGTCTAGGACTCACCTATTCCCCTTTTGCCAAAACACACTAGACAAATGTCAGTCAGTCAGGGTCCAGAACCCTGGAAATCCCCTCACCCCAACCTCTACTATGATTTAAAAAAGAAAAAACCCTACCCCATCCGGGCTGGGCACTCTCTGCTCTGAACCTCGGCGTCGGACAGACGGAGTCCAAGCTGAAGCCTGGATAAAGACTTTTGGCTTTACATACGAGTGCGGACTCCGTGTTGGCTTTGGAGGGGACCCCGTGATCTGGGCGCAACCACACATACACACACACACACACACACACACACACACACACACACACAGAGAGAGAGAAAGAGAGAGACAGAGAGAGAGAGACAGAGAGAGAGAGACAGAGAGAGAGAGAGACAGAGAGAGAGAGAGAGAGTTTAAATTCCAACCCATTTACTGAATCAGCATTTACAAATCCTAGGAAAAGTCACACTGAAATACCCAAGGTTGAAAGACAGCTGTTTCTAAGCCGTGATGAATCGAGCCCAGAACACAGAGCTGCAGATGGGGTCGAGTGGACCAAGCAGCTAAAACATCCAAGTTATGCTTTGCCCGTTTATCAGAAATGACTAAAGAACCAGAGAGAGCCTCTGATTCTTGGCAATGGAAGTTCCGTGATTGGAGTAGGGGAAGGTGTTGTAATGGAGGCCACTCAGGGTGGACAAACAGAAGCAACTGCTGGATTCTAGGACGAGAAAGGGAACTTGGCTCAGCACCTCCTCTAACTGTAGTAGTGTCTATTTCTAAGCTGATACTCAGACAGGCAGAGGGAATGTCACCCTCTAGAAGGAACTTCCCTCACTGACACATAACAGGGTAAACAGTCACCAGTAATTGTACAAGGAACGGAAGGCTTGTCTGTCTGAAGACTCCAAGGAAGAGCATGTATCAACCACTGTGGGCTAACAACAAACTGTAGAGGCTAGGGATTTAGATCAACAGCAGGCCACTTGCCGAGCAAGGCCAAGGTCCTGGGTTCAGTTCCCACCTTGGGGGATGAGGAGTTTTAGTGTCTGTGTTCTCAATAAAATGCAAGAGACACTCTATTATCAACAGTGACTGCATAAGAACAGGAGAAAATGACAGGCATGGCGTCCCATGCCTGTAGGTAGAAGAGTAAGGAGTTCAAGGCCAACCTAGGCTGTTAAGGATGTTTATTAATTAATTAATTAATGGAACATGGATAATAGTTCACCCTGCAGAGAGGTGGAGCCCCGTGAAAGGAAGGGAGAGCACCCTTAAATAGAAATTGTGACTCTGACCTGTTTTCTCCTCATTTGCCAGCTGAGTGGTAAACAGGCCTTCTCTGCCGGACCCACAGCAACAGGGCCAACTGTGGGGGGACTGATATACCCTTGGAAATGAGTCAGAATCATGAGTCCTCCTTTCCTTCAGGCATTTTGTCACGGCTTTGTAAAATGAAGAGATCCACTGGGCATGCGTGTGTGTGCGCGCGTGTTGCAGCAGACGTGTGTGCATGGGTAGAAGTGCCACAGCCAGATATCAACAGGGGCATCTTCCTCAGTTGTTGGCAATGGTGCCTGAGATACTTCAGCCATGCTGTGATACCCGAAGATAGCATTGCTTGCAGGAGTGCACGAGATAAGGGGAAGAGGAAGGCCAAAACAAACAAACAAACAAAAAACAACAACAAAAAAAACGCTGGATAGACAGCATACTGGAAGACTGGAACCTTGGGTGTAACAGTAACACAAGCATCTAGGGCTACACGGGGTAGGAACTGGAGAACCGCCATAAACGGTTGCCCATGCATGCTTAAGCATTGCTGGGGCATAGATGATGGCGATGATGATGATGATGATGATGATGATGATGATGATGATGATGATCTTCTTGGGTGACTGACCCTGTCATACAGCAGCTTCCCGCTTGAGCAAGAAATTCAGTCCGGCAGGGAAGCTCCTTCAGGCAGAAGGTAAAGAACTAAGAATTGCTCCAGGAAGTCCCTGAAACTGACCAGATTTTCTAGGCCTCTCCCTCCCCAAGAGTAAACAGTAAAGCTGCAGAGAAGACAGAGCAGCCACGTGGTTCAGAAAGAGGCAGAAACCAGTGGCGCTGCTGTGGAGAGGCTTAGGTCAACTCAGTTACCTGGGCAGGACCCTGCTCAAGCTGCCCAGGGTTCTCCAGACCCCACGCTGGGGTGGACTTGGGAGATACAGCCATCTTTGAATCCTTTCTTTTGCTCTTTGATTCAAGCCGGTTAGCGGTGGCTCATGCCTTTCATCCCAGCACTGGGAGGCAGAGACAGGTCTGAGTTCGAGGCCAGCCTGGTCTACAAAATGATTTCCAGGACAGTCAGAACTGTTACACAGAGAAACCCTGAAACAATAACAAACCCAAACCAAGACTCGTTGATAACCAACTTGGATTTTGGTGGTGTTCGTACTTAGGTCTGTCATGGGCTCTCTATCTTGGGTGAGCATGTGTGTGTTGCATCTCCATAGGAGAAGTCTGTCACATGACACTCTCTGCCTAACTTTTTTAGCAATATTTTACTCTTTGAAGTTTTCATGTTTTATTCCCTCTAGTGCCTCCCCACTTCTTAACCCAACTTCACATGCTCCTGTTTTTGTTACTGTTACTCCCACCACGGGAGAATAAGATCACCACCACAATTTCTGAGCAGGCTTTATTAAATACTGGCCAGGATGACGGACACTGGCCAGGTCCATGCCCGGGACTCCCAGAGAATGGCTTCGAATTATCCTAGTCGGCGCTCTTAAAGGCAAAGCGTCCAAGGCTGTGCACTCGCTGCCTTTGTCCAGTGGGGGTAATCACACACCTTGATGTACTTCCTGCCTACACTCCTCCCGCCTACTTGTGATCAGGTACATCCTGTGCCTTGGGGCAACCAACCTTGTTCACAGAAATGCAAGTTGTCTTCCATGAGCTCCCACCTCTCCAAGACTTTATCTGTCCTGGCAGTTGGGGCTTACAGGTTAGAGGAATTTTTGTTTTACAAATCTCTTAAGCACAGTAATTATAACAAAACATAATTTAGGCTATCACATTATTAATAACCTCCTGAGTCTAATTAAGGCCACATGCTAGGACACGAACAGCCTATCAATGGCCATATCCTCGAAGAAGACCGCCGCTTCCCCTCTAAGCAGCCATCCACTCCCAATACCTCCTCTACTAAGGTGAGGTCTTAGGAGCCCCTTCATCAGCCACGCTGGAATTTTTGACTGGCTTGATCTTTCATGAGTCATGTGCAGTGACCACAGCTGCTGAGAACTTTGATGTATTCGACAGCCTGTCTGTCCAGAAGGCAGCATTCCACAGCTCTCCCCATGGTTCACCAGCATGCACAGCCTTTCCAAACCCTCTTCTTCAGTATTCCCTGAGTCTGGGAGGGGAGAGAGACTGACAGGTGATTCGACCACAGTAAACACTCCTTTACTCATCCTTGGCACTCCAAGCAGGTCTGTCTGCATTAACCACCTAACCACTGCAAAGAGAAACTAACCAAAGCTGAGAGCAACGCAAATTAAATTAGCGGCACAGGGAAGCAAGATTCCAGAGGTGCTAAGCAACTCAATTCTGCCTTATGATTTGAGCAGGGTCTCTTACTGAACCTGGATGGCCAGAAAACTCCAGGGATGCTCTCGTCTTAATCTCCCCAGTGTGCTGGCCCAGAGAAAGGGACCTGAACTCAGTGGTACTTGATGAACTGAGTCTACTCTCTAGTCCCTAACAGAACCTTTTAAAAAGCTTTTCTTAAAAATTGCCAACCACTGTCATAATTTCCAGCTAGTCAACACTGAATGGGTACTTCATGAAAATGCAGAGTTAGAGTTGAGCCAATTTGGCTTTCTTGGCTTTTCGCCTTAACATGGAGGTAGGGGATTTAATCTTGGACACTCATGTCCACTAAACAGTAAGTGTTCTCACTCACCGAGCCATCTTTCTGGCCTTTTAAAACTCAATGTACACAAAAACCCAATATTAACCCAAAGTTTCAAATATCACAGGGCTGGAGCCTGGGATGTCGAACAGAATGAATGGTATGTAGAGCAGGATTACTAGGTACAGAATGAACCAGGTATGGTGGTGCAGGCCTTTGTTCCTAGCACTTGGAAAGCAGAGGTGGGCGGATCTCTGTGAGTTTGAGGGCAGCCTGGTCTAGAAAGTGAGTTTCCCAGAATAGCCAGAGCTGTTATAGAGAGAAAACGTGTCTCAACAAACAAAAAACAAACAAAAAAAATAGGTACAGAATGAAACATTCAGCAAAGCAAGACCAAAGCAGCCGACAAAAGAATAAAGATGGCATCAAATAAGAATCAAAGCAAGAAAGCAGTTTGAGCATTAGAACAGTGTGATAAGTGTAGGCATTAGTACAGTGTGAA